GTTTGAACCAGGATTTCAAGATTCCAGATCCAATGACTTTCAATACAAGTCTCTCCTATGGTGTTAGATTATACGGTGTGATCATAAAATAACAGGGCTGGGAGCGAGGCAGTTGGACTTTGGTTTGTTAGTTTGGTTTGGGGACAGTCCCACCCCTGTCATGGCCCCAGATCCAGTAGATTCCAAAATGGGGGTCAGGTCAGGTCTCTGGTTCACATTCTGTCCTCAGCTTTGAAGCCAAGTTCCTCTCTCCTCTGGGAAGGAGACAGAGTTGGGGAGGGGGTGTCAGAGCATAGGGGTTGCTGTGGATGACCCTGGCCCAGCTGCTGCCTGAGCTTTCTCACGAAGGAGGCTCTCCCAGTGTCCCAAATCTACCCCAGGCCTTCTGCCACCTCCCCATGACCCTCGTCATCTAAAGAGTAACTGCTGCATCTTGAAAACGTGACTGGCATTAAACTTAGAAGTTAAACACCCCAGCAAGATGGAGGGCACTGCCCAAGCAAACTTCAGGAAGAGGGAAAGCCAAGCAGTCAAGGGCACAGCTTTGTAGGTTTCAAACCTGACTCTTCCCCTTCCTGGCTGAGTGGGCTTCACCTTTCTGAGGTTTCCACATCTGTAAAATGGGGTAGTCAGAGTATCTATCTCAAATATTATTGGGATGCTTTTTCTTTTTTAAAAGAGTTTTATTGAGTTGTAATTTGCATACCATAAAAGTCACCTGCTTTAAGTGTATAATTACATGATTTTTAGCATATTTAAAGAATTGTACAATCACTACCACATCAATTTTAGAATATTTGCATCACCCTCCCCCCAAAAAAGCCCTCTACCCATTAGCAATCTCTCTCCTTCTTCCTCTCAGCTTTAGGCAACCACTTTCTATCTCTATAAATGTACCTTTTCTGGAAATTTCACACAGATGGAATTATACAATATTTGGTCCTTTATGTCTTGCTTCTTTCACTTAATCTGATATTTCTGAGGTCCACCCATGGGCTGCATATATCAGTAGTTCATTCCTTTTTTATTGCTGAATAATATTCCATCATATGACTATACCATATCAGTTGATGGACATCTGGGTTGTTTTCAGTTTTTGGCTATAGTGAACAATACTGCTATGAATATCCCCAGTACAAGTTTTTGGGTAGACATATGTTTGTGTTTCTCTTGGGTAAATACCTAGAATTGCTGAGTCATATGGTCAACTTACGTTTAACTTGTTAAGAAACTGCCAAACTGTTTTTCAAAGTTTTACATTCCCATCAGCAATATGTGAGGATTTGTTGAGAGAATTAAATGAGATAAGTAACGTGAAGTGCTTAGCATTGTGCGTGGACATAATGAATCTTCAATAAATGGTAGCTAGTATTAATAGAGATCTTAATAGACTCAGCTGCAGTTACAGAACCCACAGTACTGCTGCTTCCTTCCCTGAAAAGAAAGTGGATCTCCAGGAGACAGTCACTCTGAAGAATTAAAGCCCACAGTCTACGCCCTTAGCCTGGCATTCAAGGCTCTCCACACACCCCACCTCCATCAAACTATCCAGTCTTGGCCAGCATTCACCCAACCCTCAAGCTTCTGTCCAACCAAGCTGATCAGCACCTTTGCTCATACCATTCTCTGCCACCTCCCTCCTGCCTTCTCTGTTAAAATTCCACTTGGCCTTCAAAGCTCAGCTCAGGAGAACTTCCCTCTTCGAGATCTATCTTGACTTTCTAACCAACTAGACCAGCACTATTTGATGGGTAACCACCAGCCATACGTGGCTGTTCAGCACCTGAAATATGGCTCTTCTGAACTGAGGTATGCCGAATTATAAAATATACACCAGATTTTGATGACTTAGTATGAAAAATAATATAAAATTAATAGTTTCTGGGGCATTAATTATATGGTCAAATAACATTCTGGGTACATCGGGTTAGGTAAAATACATTATTAAAATTGATTTCACCTGTTTTTACTTTTTTACAATGTGGCTGCTGAAGAATTTTACATTATCTATGTGGCTCACATTTGGGGCTGAATTCTGGTCCTCCTGGGCAGCATTGGTAAAAAGCATCAGTATCCCCACAGTTGCTATTTATTGAGCACCTAATTTCTTACCTTTTTATATCTGTTATCTGACATTATGCTCAGCACCATCCTTTGGGGTTTATATTATGAATCTCTCCTTTTTACAGATAAGGAAACAGAGGGAGGGTGTGACCTCCCCAAGGTCACACAGCTGGGCACTCGCAGATTGAGGATTCAAACCCAAGCTGTCTGCCTCCAAAGCCTGTAGTCTTCCACAGGATTTTGCTGCACAGACTACTAACGCACCAAGGGCTTTGGGGGTCTCCCTGGGGTGCCTTGGCTGGAATTAGAACAGCTCTGCATAGTAATGAACCATGCTAATCAGAAACTCTGAATGCTTGCCTTTCATAAATATAAAATGAGAAAGCAGATTAATTAATATAAGCAATGCATTTGGAATAAATAGGATCTTGGGGTCGTGGGTGTAATAAAAGATAGAGGACAGCTGATCTAAACAAATATTTCATTTCACAGGTGGGGAAATTGATGTCCCAAAAGGAGAGAGGATTTGTCAGGGTTGTTAGAGAGTGGCAGAGCAAAGGGCAAAACCTGGGTTTCTAGGATCCCAAGCTGAGTTCTCTCCCATGCACCTCCAGCCACCTGGAAGCCTTTTGTCTTGAACCAGCCCCCTTCCACTCCCAAGCCTGTCCCAAGAACAAGAGAGGAGGGGGCCAGGAGACCCAACCCATTTCCATCAAGGTCCCAAGGCCACCACCCGGTCCTGGGCCAGGAATTCCTTTCATAGACTGAATTAAACTAAGCTGAAAATAATTCTGAACCCCTGGAAGTCTCTAAGAGCTTCTATTCCTACTCCGCCCTGGTCCAGCAGGCCAGTCTCTCTCTGCCATCTTTTGGGCTCCCTCAGACTTCCCCTGCCAGCTCCCATCTCCACTTATACGAGTGTAGGGAGAGGGATGTTTAAACGAACCGCCCACCTACCCTGGTCCCTCTTCCCAACCCTCTCCAAAAAGGAAGGAGAAAGGGCGGCAGAGGCTGTGCTAAACCCAGCACCATCCCTATGAGCCAACCCAGGAGAGCCCTAGCCAGAGGCACAGAGGAGCCACCAAGAAATAAGAGACACGGACACAAAGAGGCAAAGAAAGAAGGAAAAGGATGGCTGTTTGGATCAAGAGAAAGGCATGGAGCCAGAAACGAAGAGAAGAGAAATTAAGAAAAAGAGAAAGACAAGGAGGTGGAGATGAAAAGGGGATTCATGAAAAGGAAAATTAGAGGAAGGGAAAGTAGGAAGAAGAT